CAGCCGATACGGCTGGTTAATAATCAGCCATCAGTATCAGCTAAAAATCTTTATCGGTGCACCCCTACTGAATACAGTAAGATCTTGCAAGCAATTTCTGAATCTCACAATATTTAATGACTATTCTGAAACTCTAAAGTATGCTAGAGTAAAATTTTACTCTAAAACCTTAGTAAAACCTACAATATTGTTGGATCCCAGGTATTTAGCATCACATGGCAGAATATCACTATAGACTGTCAGCTGTCCAAACCTCATGGTCACTGGTGATAGCAATGAAAGTTTCTTTCTTTCCATTCCTGTTAGCAATGTAATTTCACCACACTGAGCTACATCAAAACTTCTAAAGAGTTCCTGTCCTTTTGGTATTTGCATTTCATTCTGAGCAGTGCGAGTTGATGTTTTTTAATCTCTTCTTTCATATAAAGATCTGCCACTAAAAGACTTAATTCTTCAAGAACCAAGGAACTTTCCATTTGGCATACTTACCAAGAAAACAGTTATATAGTGAGCTAGCATCACTGTATACCAATAAAGCTTTTTTTTTTTTTTTTTTTTAATTTCTCCTCAGAGAGTAGCTGCAGATGCACTACTCCTACTAGTTTTTGGACTTGGATGTCTGGGAAATTTTCCCTTTGTTTGCTTTCTTTTAATTCTTCTGCCTCCTCAAGAAATATAACTTTGTCAGAGCTCTTGAATATGCCAAGTGACAGTAAATGAAGTACATAATTTTAACGCTTGACATGATGATGCAATAGAACAATTTACTTACAGATCTGGCAGACTGTCACTTGAAGCCTCTAAATCCATAAGATCTCCCTAAAAGATTTCTCTAGTTCAACCAGAGCTTAACGGAGTGAAAGACGTTTTCACAGAAGAGCCTGTGCATGATTTCTTTTATCATGAAGAAGCTGCTACACATCAGCATCCATGTGGTTCTTGACAGAACGGGACCTTGATCCAACGGCAAGGAGGCCAAGACAACTGGAGATCCTGTTCTGCTACAGCCTTCATCCACCTTCGTGGCCACTGAGATTCCAACATCATCTCCCTCCTGCTCCACCCTTGAGGACTTGTAGATCCATGGTTGGGGGCTGAACAGGCTTATTATAATGGCAACCTATACTCACCATGTCACAGCACTATCAAAGGACACGTCTGGCTTTTCAAAAGGGAAAGCATTGCCATCTGATGTCCCCACCATATTCTGGTGGCATTGCCACTGCTTGGTCCAAAACTGTTTATTCATCAGAATTACCCCTGCTTATTTTGCAGCTAACTCTACCAGAAGGTCATTTCACTATCTGCCACCTGTAGATGCACTGAGACATACAAGAAAATGGGACTCATGCTTAACATTCAGAAGACTAAGGTCCTCCATCAATGAGTTCTTAGTGAGCAGTCCTCAGCTCTGGTAATTCAGATTTTCAGCGAGACTGGAAAACCTTGACTATTTTTCCCATACCTCGGAAGCCATCTCTTGCAGAAGGCTGACATCAACAAAGAAACCCAACATTGCCTTGAAAGTGCAGGGGCAGCCTTTGGACACTTGAGGAAATGGGTGTTTGAAGACCGCAACATCAGATCTGAAACCAAGTTCATGGTTTATCAGGCAGTCACGATCCCCACCTTACTGTACGGAGCTGAGATGTAGACAACATACAGGTAACATCTCAAGTTGCTGGAGAAGCACCAATGCTGCCTGCAGAAGATCCTTCGAATCCAGTGAAGACAGACATGCCAATATTAATGTCCTCTTGCAAGCAAACACCAAGCAAACATCGAGGCAATGATCATCCAACATCAATTTGGCTGGGCCAGCTATGTAATCCAGATGTTCAACTCCAGATTCCCAAAGCAAGTTTTATTCTCCCAGCTCAATCAAGATGTATACTCAAGAGGAGAGCAGAGAAAATACTTCAAGGACATTCTCAAGTCCAGCTTGAAAAAAAATGCAACTTGACATCAACTCAGGGGACTTTTGCCCAGGACTGCCCCAAAAGGAGGAAGTCCGCTGCAAGGATCTTAGTACTTTGAAACATCATGACAACAGGAGATGGAAAAGTGAGTGGCAGAAACTGTGTTGCAGACCAAATCAAGAATCCAGAGCTACCCACCCCATACAGAAACATGTGCCCAGCTTGCAACAGAGCCTGTCAATCCTGGATCAGCTTCATCAGCCATCTTCAGACCTACAAATGAAGTGATCATGGAAGACAATCATCTTTAATATATACTGGCAAGCAGTCAAAGATGATTATCTTCCATGATTACTTTATCTATGGGTCTGAAGATGGCTGATGTGGGGTGGAGAGGCAAAGAAAGAGTCCCTTCATTGCATGTCCCGCACCATGTGCAGCCTGGGGGCTGCATGCTGGCAAAGAATTTGTTAAAGAGGTTAGCTTTGTCATCTGGTGTGACCCTG